TAAAAGCCTAAAACTAGTTTAAAACCAGAACTCATCCTATATTCTGTTAAAGACTCAATTCTATGACAAAGCGAGACTCAATCTTATGCAAAGAGTAAAAGTAAGATCTTAAAAAAAAAATAAAACCCCAGGAAAGACGTGAATTACTCAACTAATAAAGTAGAAAAATCTAAACCAAAAAGATTAAAGCTAAGAAACAAGTATATTTAGACTGCTAAAAAAAGATGGAGTTCGTACATCTCACACTTTGCTCCAAATATTTATGCACATAACATTCAAAAATGCCATGATATGATATAATACCTTAAAAGATCATCCAGTTCAAATCATTAAACTCTGTAAAAAAGAATCTTAGAACAAAAGATTTCATAGCAGAACAATTTATTATTACATCTGATGGAACTTGAAACTTGATTCTTTTCACCATTGGAAACTTCAGGAAAGCATTTTTGCAAGACAACAAAATAATCATTAGAGAAGTCTACCCCACAAAATCAGACTCCTCAGAACACAACCTTTTGATCACCTGCTGGAATTTGCAGACGGTAACAGCAACCTCGAGGCTGGATTTCACCAGCAAATTGCACTTCATTATTCCTTCAGAGACCAGATAAAGAGAATAAGAGACCATTTCCAAGGATCAATTGATCTAAACTTAGGGCAGGAAAAGAAGTAATCAATTACCTCTCACCACAATGTGGACATTCAAAGGCCGACAACAATATCTGCAACCAGATATATATATCTCCCATAACACTTTAACATAAATCAAGAGAAAATACCTTGAAAAACAGTATCTTGGGTATTGACTAATCATAAAATCTGATCTTTGATATGCATAATCTAATATAGTCCAGCGAACAAATGATACTAAATAAAGTTGTAGAGAAAGTGTTTAGCTTCCCAAGTAAGGTGTTATTACCTTTCTAAAATGTGGAATTAGAGTTAACAGAAACCTCGTTATTCCCTGTGTGCCAAAAAATAAAAATGAAAGGGTGAGAAACCATGTAAAAGTACTGACACAGTTGATCTCGTCTCAGCCAATCAAGGATCAATAAAGAAAATAAAAGAAATCTATCTAAATTCATCATATGATTTATTAATTTCTTGCCAATATAGGACCTTAGTATAAAATTCGTTTAATATCATCCTAAATGGATTCAGGTTTCTCATATTTCACAATATATCTCAATAGAGCACAAAATATTAGAGCAATTAGCAATGCTCCGCTGCAATGAGTGATATAACAAACTCTAGCATTTCCAATATTGCACGGACAATTCGTATGATTTTTTTGTGAATAAATAAAAGAAGAAAGCTCTCTTTCTGGCAAAGCAAGGTACAATTACTGATGCATAAAGTGCAATAATGTAAGAGGCAGGAGTAACATAACAACTCCAGCATCCCCAATAATGTACAATGAATCCATACGACTTTATAATGAACAAAAAATAATGAAAAATGTTCTTTACGAGGCAAAGGAGGGTACAATTACTAATTCATAAAGTACAGTAATTTGAGTCAGCGGTAGCGTGGTTACGTTTTCGCCGCATCTCATGCAGAGGCTTTCGACCTCGTAGAGAGGAGCATCAGAGTCTTCGGAAGAAACTGCTTCCACAACTGATCGCACGTCCACGATCTGGGGCTTCATTTTGGTAGGTTCTCTGCTGTAGGGTTTTGTTGTAATGCAGGGGTTAACAGATGAAGAATGGGCGGTATCGATTTTACCTCTATTTCTCAATATCTTTACATAACGAGCTTCAGGGTGGACAACAAGCCGTCTTAGCTCAGCCGGTAGAGCGCGTGGCTTTTAACCACGTGGTCGTGGGTTCGATTCCCACAGACGGCGTTTTTTATATTTAATTCTTGTTACTCTAAATTTACTTTTTCTTCTGAAGGTCAGTCTTGGATTCAATAAATTGTTAGAAATTTTAAGAATTTAGCAATTCTGGATTTCATTTTAACTGTCAATACAACGTTTAATAGTATATATTCGAACTCACTATGTATGCTAGCTCTAAATTATATTTTATTTTTTTGTATTTTACAATTTCATAAGATAATAGCACTTGCATTTACTAATGCATTTTCAGAGTTTGAATAATTGCGTCGAAAATTGTGGAGTTGTCCATTACTTGTGAAATTAGTGCTCATAGTTTTCACGACTCCTACTTTTCTTGTATTTGCCAAGAAAGTGCTACTAACCTTTATTGAGAATTTACTTTATTAGTTCCAACTTCTGAAAGAAATTTCAACGTCACAAATTGAGCATTATTAAAGGATCAACATCTTTTGGATATTTCTTTTAAGAGTACATTTTCAAGAAGGTATTAAGCATCAAGATAGAAGGTGAATAATTAAATATTATTGACAATTATATTATTTGCCAAGTTTTGTAAATTATAGCATGATGTATGAACATAAATAATGTATGAAGCCACCATTTTTATGTTTTCTAGTCCAGAATCAGAATTGGGGGCCTTCTTTAATTTTATTTTTTTTCTTGGAAGTTTCTTTTCAAAAAATGTACGATTTTTCCCAATAGAGCCAAAAAGGAATAAAGATGCCAAACCCATAGAAAACGGGTTTTAACAAATAATAGAAAAAATTCTCATTTATAGACCTCAAGGGTAAAAGTGGGTCCTATAATTTGAATTACACGGTTATTGAAGTAGAAATTGATCATGACAGAGCCTATTGGAGCCCCTTTTTTACGTAGATTGACGGAGAAGGTGTGATTAAAAAAAATGAGTTTACGTTGAAAAATCTATGATTGAAAAATAATAGAAAGAAAAATATATTTTAAAAATAATGGGGATCAAATAAAGGCCCCGTTTGTTTTCCATTAATATAAGAATGAGAATGAAAGATATAGTCGTTATGGATCTCACACAAGAGATAAAAATTCAAATATGATGACTTAATGCGATAAATAACGATCATATTTTTTTTTTATTTTAATGGTCGCATAATGAGAAACAAACGGGGCCTAACCATTCTTATGCATAAATCTACTATAATTGTCAATAGCCCTCAAAAGAGAAATTCCACAAAAAATATTGCAAGTCAATTCACAATTAGGGTTTCCACTAACGTTGTATGTGTTATCTAGAAGTCAAAAAATTTTCCCCCTTTTTTTGTCGGGTGTTGTTTGTCGATTCTATACATATGAATAGTGTATCATTTATGATGACTTAAAAATAAATGCGATTTTTTTAAAGGCATAACGTAGAATACAAGTTTTCTTTTAGAAATTTACTCAACCTCAACAATAGTTTTATCTCAATGAAGAAATTTCCTCCTCAGAAATAGGAAAAACGACTACTTCTTCAAGCCAAAATGGTTGGATTATCCTCCTTCCTTATTACAATGGATACGTCGATTCGTATCGATGGTGGTCCATCTAACTTTTTTCCTGCTCCCAAACCTAATTGAGCCCCACTCTTTAAAATGAAATCTTGATCTTAGAAAATAAATCTCTTTCATAAATCTAATCAATATTGTCATCGAGTATCTTGAATAGGTGTTACAATATATAACTCTTCCAACTTTTGTTAGGGATTTCATTTAAAGTAGGATGCTGTATGCATAATCTAGTCAGCTATTATCCTCATTTAAAGTAGCATACGTAATCTAGTTGATGGTTATTTGTCAATGTTTTAGTTATCCTTCCAGCTACTCTAGATTGAGGGGCAATTCTATCGGCTTACTCATACAGAACTTGTTTGGGAGTAATTTTGTAAATTCATTTTTTGACTATTAGGAGAAAAGTGATATCTATCTTTGAGAGAAGAAGTCAAATATGACGATTGAAATAGTAAAATAGCGATCAAAAAATCAATTTTTTAGGTCAAAAAATCACTCTCAAACATGCTGACAATATTATGACGTGACAAATATTAAATATTAATTAATTGAGTTTCTTTCAGGACTTGCACATTATGGTTTTCCTATCATATCACAAGTAAAATAAAGAAAAAATAGGTAAACCTTGTTGATATTTTATTATTTATTTGACTGGGGAATAGGGTTGTGTCATGTTATTCCTGCCCCCTTCACGTTAAGCCTAATCAATGTTAGGAAGAACCAATTCTTGCTTGATTAAGCAACTTTATTGACTTTTTTTAACGGATTATTTTAAGTTTTATTTCGACTATTTTGGCTCATTTAGCGATAGTGGGAATTTTGCTTGGACAATAATCAATCCTGAAATGATTTTGATGATAAGACAGAGTGGTATTGAGAGAAAATCTAAATAAATGGATCTTGTGTGTGTTTAAATTTAATTATTTTCACGCAATTGTAAGTAATAGTAACTTATGACTAACTACGCTTATTTTTGGGTCGATATCTTCAATCGGGTGCCACCAAATGAGTTAATTTGGCAATAACCATCCACTTATTACTAGTTGTTTCTATTTATTTATAAATTACGGATGCTTGAATTTACGATTTTCTTGCTTTTGTTATGGTCCTCGATATTCAATTTTCGTTCACAAATTAATGCTTGCATGTCTCAAATTCAATGAGCTAAAAGAAAATATCATTTTATAGTTTGAGCATACAAGTATATAAAATCATAGCAAAATTTTATGAATAAGTTTCTCCAAAATTTTCATATCTAATCAAAGTTGGTCCGTTGTAGGCACACTAACCGTGTCATATACGACCTAAAGTCCGATAATCTAGAATTTGTATACTGCAGCATCGAGATAGTCTAACTAAGGCAACCCCTATTGCATAAAGCTTGATATATTAAATCGTCGTACATAATGTCATCATAGTTTAAAGGTTGGCACATTTTGATACCTCTAGCTCGAGGATTATTAAAATATGAATTTCCACGATAGCCCCTATAAGTCAGCTATCAGCAATAGAAAAACCGTGAGTGCAGCTTTAATTGTGGGGATGAGGCCAACAAGATTTGCGTTTGTTAACTTCCTTTTTCTTTGAGTTGGGAATCCAACATTAATTTCTTTATTTTATAAATACATAAATATGCCATACTTCATTAGTTCATTTCCCAAGTTTCTTGGTATTACTCTTCTTTTCTCTCTCTAGAATTCTTTGACTTTCCTAATTTTCTGAGTATGCGCTTCTTAAATAACCCCAAACCCATTCATTTTCCCTAGTCTATCTCGGCCACCTCTCTTTCCCTTGTATGCATCTCTCCACATAATACAGTCGAAGGAAAAAAAGACTCTTCGATTCTTATGGCCGTTGAAGCAAGTAATTTCAATATTTTCCCTTCACAATTCATACCCAACAGGTAACTTTGATCACTTTTGAGAATTCGTTTACCGAAAAAAAAACTTTTAATTATTTTTTCTGATAATTATTTTTGAAATTTGCAGAGATTTGGTGAATTGCAACCACGGAAAAGCCTTAGCATACAATAACCAGATGGGTTCATCGGCGGTGCCTTTGGCCTCATCAGTACCGGAAACTTTATTGCCGATTTATCAATCTTTTTATTCGGCTCCGGCGAAAAGTTCTGTGTACACCGACAGTGGACTCACATACAACTTACCGGCAGCTCTGAGAAAGCGCTCAAGAGAATCTATGAATCAGTTATATGCGACATCTAATTTCGGTGCACCCCAGAAAAATAATGGCATTTCTCAGTTTCCATGTTTTGTCGGTGAAGAAACTTTGCCTCAAATCCAGCAATACCAGTTGGAGATGGATAGTATTATTTCCCAACATGTAAGTATCTGTATAAATATTACAGAATTGTGGGTTTTCGATGAATTTGGTTTTTAGTTTTCTTATCAAAATTTTTGGTTATCCTCAGACAAAAAAGATTAAATTGGAACTGGGAGATAAGCAAAAGCAACAAGCGAGATCGTTGTTGTCGGCTTTAGAAGAAGGTGTGATGAATAAATTAAAGGAGAAGGAGGATCAGTTACAGAGAACTGGGAAAACGAATTTGTTTCTTCAAGAAAGAGTGAAGAGCCTTTTTATGGAAAACCAATTATGGCGTAACTTGGCACAAACAAATGAGGCCACAGCCAAGTCTCTGCGTACAAACCTCGAACAAGTATTGGCCCACGTTAGTGACGAGCGCCTTTTAGGCGGTGCCGCTGTCGGTAGAAGGGTAGAGGAGGAGGATGTTGAGTCGTGCTGCGACAGCAGTCGAAAGGTGGCGGAATGCGGTGGCAGGATGTGCAGGAGGTGTGGGGAGAGAGAATCATGTGTGTTGTTGCTGCCATGTAGGCATCTTTGCCTCTGCAACATTTGTGGGAGTGGGACCACCCATGTCCAAATTTGCCCAGTATGTAAGTCTGAAATGACTGCCACTTTGCACATTAATACGTCTTCTTGATAGTCCATGTCAGAAGAAATTAGCAAAAAAAAAAAAAAAATGTAATTAATCTAAAAATTTTGGTTGTACACTTTCTTGATGAAATATTAGCTTATGTAAATTTCTTCAGCAAATTAACATACATAAATTATGTACTTTTTTACTGCTTATTCCTTGGTAACAACTGAACAGACATACTGAAACACTCAGAAATTTTTTATTTGAGTTGTTTAAGTTGTCAAAATGAATTAAAAGGTTGAACCCCAACCTTGAGGGTCCCACGATCCCACCCTTAAAGCATCATGATGGAGGTAAATTACGGAATGTACTCCAACGGGTTAGGGAATAAGAGTTTGCCTGTACACTGGTACTCACAAAGAGTCCAATTCCATATTTCAGGAATCGAACTCTCACATTGCGGCTACCAGCAAGGTTGAGACTACCTCACTCATATCCTTTGCACCACTGTATTATGCCCCGAGGAACAAATTGTCATAATGAATTAACGATAGAATGTGGAGTATAAAACAATAAATATGTCTTCAATAACTTCTTCGAGGGAGAAATTGGACCGATATTTAAATGCTGTGATAAAAATGGTCGATAAAACATGGCATGTTAGGTGAGATATTCGAACCTTCGCTCTGATATTCCTGATAGCCCTTAGTCTCATTGAAGACACTCTTTTGTATCCGTCATTCTCTATTGTTTTGTGATCACTGCTTCAATCAACGTCTATATGAACAATTTTGATGTCGAGGGATCAGGATTTGCTACTTCACTTGGAGCTTAAGCCCTAATAATCTATAAAATTTATTATGCTTTTCTACCGTTGGAAAAAGGTAAACCTTCGTTACACACCATTCTTCCTTTATCTTTCCTATGTTGTTCCTAACTAGCTTTCCACATCTCAAAGCCAAACTTGAAAGTAACTTAGTAACTTCTGTCGTTCAAGATGAAAGACTTTGCCTAATTCTTTTGAATCCCGGCCTCTTTTTCCCACCAATTAATTAGCTTATGACCACTAAACAAACATGGTACGAAGGTGATGGAAAAGTCAAATTTTTTGGCAGGTTGATTCCAAAACAGATAATTAAAGGCATGGACCAGATAATTTCCTAATTTTTCTGGCATGTAGAGTGATGTGAAAGAAAATTAGACACCGTGTTAAACAATTTTAAGCACCATATTGAAATCCATGTCCCTTATTTATACCTTTACACCCAATCACCCCACCCCTTAGTCACTTAACTAATAGAGTTTAGATAAAATTAATTATATAATCTACATGTGCATTTTATTTGATTCAATTCTGATGGCTTTTATTTAATTTAATTTTTTTGTTTGTTTGTCGGAAGTAATAATGGAGATCCAAAGTTTTCTAGGAATTTTCTACTATCTTCCTTTATCTTTTTCGGATTCTTGAAAATTTTAATGTGCACATGGGCGGACTACTTTTGGGGAGATGGAGCCATCTTCCAAGAATCACCCCTTCTGCCCTTTATTTTTGCCTTATTCAATAAAACAATCATTAATCATACTGTTAAGGGGTAATCATGTTTGAATAATGACTCACGTTAGGTGTTTTTTAATTAGTTATTTTTTATTTGATGTAAATTATATATAAATACTAGAAAACACTTTTCTTTTAAATGTGAGATATACGTGTTTAGTTATGGATCATAGAATGATAGGGCACATGTAAAAATTTTGACGTGCGGTGAACTCGATAGGGGGCAATTTTGTCACATTATCACCAGCACAAAAACTAATTTTTACAATTTTGGGCGATTTCAATTTTTATTTCATTTGGCTTCTTACATGATTACAAATACTTAATCTATCGCATATTAATTTATTCTATGTCGGACAACTTGTACACGTTATGAAAGTGCCAACCTATCAAATTCAAATCAAGTCTTTTATTGTACGTTTATACCTATTTCAATAGTGGGCCCAATTGACCCGAATGAAATGTCCGAGTATCTCGGCCCATGTTTTGTGTCTTCAAACTCATGACGAAAAGTTGTGGGCCCATTTAGGGAAGAAATGGAAAGCTTTGTCTCAGACTTTAGATAGATCAAGTGGACAAAACCCCGAATAAATGCATTGATCCGAGGACCCGTGATGTGAACCCTGACTTTCCAGGTTGTATCGTATTGTTTGGGCATATATGAACTTGTCCACATCATTGAACTAACATCGCATCGTTGACATTGCAACACGTGTCCTCTATATCAAGTCGGAACTAATATGTGCCATGTCGATGTTGTAAAGAATATGAAAGATTAAATCAAGTCAAAAAATTGTTTTACAAAAGGATTATGTACAAAATTTAAAAACTACTACATGTTAAGAACAAAATAAAAATGCTCAACAGTTCTGGGAATGACTTACTTCTTATTAAACAATCTTGGGCTTATAAATAGCCTTTTACAAACTTAACAAAATGAGACAATTTACCTCACGTTTCTCTACGTGATGAGTGCAACTAGAAATCAGGAAACACCACTCAGGTATCCTAAAGACTAGGACTTATTCAAACAGAATACAAAGACTTTCTCTTCATTCCCTCCCTTAAACTAGTTACAAACTTCAACTAGTTTAATTCAAGAACTTGACAGACTCCCAACTGACGTCGAAACCTCTGAAATGCATCCACTGTGAGAGGCTTTGTCATCACATCTGCCAGCTGATCATGTGTTTCACAATAAACCAATTCAACTGCTCCTTCTCGTGTGAGATCATGAAGAAAATGAAAACGCACATCAATGTGCTTGCTTCGACCATGTAACACAGGATTTTTTGACAACTTAATTGTGGAACTGTTATCACAAATAATTGTAGTACACTTACTTTCTTCCCGACTCAGCTTCTCCATTATTCTCTTCATCCAAACAGCTTGACTAGCACAAGCAGCTGCAGCCACGAACTCTGCTTCTGTGATTGAAAGTGTGACTATAGGTTGCTTTTTTGAGGACTAGGCAACAGCTCCAGATCCCAACATGAAAACATAACCTGATGTACTTTTCCTGTCTCCTATATCTCCTGCATAGTCACTATCTGCATATCCAACCAGACCTTCACACCCTCCCTTCTTGTCGAAAACTCCAAGTCCAATAGTTCCTTTCAAGTACCTCAGTATCCTCTTGGCTGCCATCAGATGCAACTCAGTTGGTTTAGCCATGTACCTGCTAATCAAGCTTACTGCAAACATAAAATCTGGCCTTGGAGCTGTTAAGTACATGAGGCATCCCACCATTTGCTTAAACAAAGTCTCATCAACACAAACCCCATTCTCATCTTTAAAAAGCTTACAACCTGGAACAAAGGGATTATGAACTGAGTTGCTGTTCTCCATCCTAAACCTTTTCAACACCTCCAAAGCATACTTCCTCTGACAAATATAGATCCCATCTGACCTTTGCAAAACTTCTATGCCAAGAAAAAAGCTCATTCTCCCCAAATCAGTCATGTCAAACTCCCTCAACATGGAATTCTTAAACTCAGCAAACATCAATTCATCATTGCCAGTAAATATTAAATCATCAACATATAAACTGACAATGAGAATCTTACCTCTCTTATTCGTTTTAATGAACAAAGTATGCTCACTATAACACTTCTCGAAGCCTTCACTTATGAAATGTGCTTCAATATGACTGAACCAAGCTCTTGGAGCTTGTTTCAGTCCATATAGGGCTTTCTTCAACCTGTAAACTTTCTAAGGACTATTCTCCAGCTCATAACCCCTTGGCTGCTCTACATACACTTCTTCATTAAGTTCTCAATGCAAAAAAAGCGGATTTGACATCAAGTTGATAGAGAGTCCACCCTTTTTGAGCTTCTAGAGCCACAATCATTCTCACTGTGTCCATTCGCGCAACTGGGGCAAATATTTCTATGTAGTCTATCCCTTGTTGTTGCACATATCCCTTTGCCACCAAACGAGCTTTAACTTGTCCACTTCTCCATTCTCCTTGAGTTTGGTTTTATAAACCCACTTCACTCCTATCTTGTTTGCACTTTTAGGAAAATCAGTGAGTTCCCATGTGTTGTTCCTCTCTATAGCCTGTATCTCCATGTCCATAGCTGTCCTCCATTTGTCAGGCTTTACTGCCTCCTCCAAATGCATTGGATTTGCTGAAGCAAACAAAGCCAAATTGACATTTGCATCTTCTTCTTCCGACTCCTCCGAAAGTCCTTCCCCAATTATATAATCTCTCATCCACCTCGGACGCCCTTTGCTTCTTCCATCTTCAAAACTAGATGATTCTCCTCCATTTTCACCATTTTGAGGACTACCAACCGGTTCAGCAACTTCTTCTCCTTCACTCACTGCTCCTTCATTCCTTGCGTTCACTGCCTCATTATCTTCATCATCCCATTCCAAATCAACCATTATGTGCTCTTCATAACTGCTATCCCAGCTCCATGAATTATCTTCCTCAAACACTATATCTCTGCTGACTACAATCTTCCTTGCAACTGGATCATAGAGTCTATATGCCTTAGACTCTTCACTTACTCCCAATAACACACAAGCAATGCTCTTTGCATCTAGCTTTCTCCTTCTCACATCAGGAAGATGCACATGCGCCACACATCCGAAAACTCGAAAGTACTCAACCGAGGGTCTACTTCCACTCCAGGCTTCCTCAGGTGTTTGATTCTTCACAGCCGATTTAAGACTCTGATTCAGAACATGTATTGTCCAGTTCACCGCCTCCGGCCAGAAAGTCTTCGGAATCTTCCTTTCAGAAAGCATGCATCTAACCATGTTCATCATAGTTCGATTTTTCCTTTCTGCTACTCCGTTCTGCTGTGGAGTATATCCTGCAGTCAATTGCCTCTTGATGCCATGCTCTGTGCAGAACTCATTGAACTCAAGTGATGTAAAATCTCCTCCTCGATCCGTTCTCAAACATTTAATATATCCTCCTACTTCTTTCTCAACACAATTCTTAAAATGTTTGAACATGTTTAATGCTTCAGATTTCTCTACTAAAAAACAAGCCCATGTTTTTTCTAGTAAAGTCATCAAAGAAGCATATAATGTAC